TGTGGTAATACAGCGTTTGTGTGGCACTGCCATTTATTCTGAATTCATTCTGAATGGCACCCCAGAGCACCTTGCCGACAAAGTAATTCTGCAAATGTCGAATGCACCTCTTTTGGGGGGGGCTCTCTGGTGCATTTAGGCAGCTTCATTCAAATGTTACATGTTACCAGACGGAATAACATACTGTCATAGCATATATGGGCCATCCATGATAGATCCGTGTCTGCTTTATATATCGCTTGTTGTTGCCAAATAGCCAGAAGCACACTTCTTATGTAGGTACACTTGGCCACTTTTTTATCAACATACACTATATTGCCAAAACTATTGGTCAGCCTGCCTTTGCACAAACATGAACTTTAACGGCATCCCAGTCTGGTCCAGATCTGAGAGGAAAACCCTCAGGACTCCATCCGTGGCCTCATTAGGAGCCTCCCCCGACGTTGTCAGGCATGCATACAAGCACGTGGGGGCCATACAAACTACTGAGGACCATTCTGAGTTGCTGCGATGACATTTCAGCAAAATGGACTCGCCTGCTGCATCATTTTTTCAATTTGATTTTCGTGGTGTCTTTGAATTCAGTCCTCTGTAGGTCGATCATTTTCATTTCCCATCAAACGATGGGGCAACCTTATGTTCCTCACACATCACCCCGTCCATGTCAGTATAGAGATCCAGCAGGAGATTTGTCCCCATTGAGATCTGATGGGTTTTTCAAAGTGTTCCTTTAATTTTTGTTGGGCAGCGTACTTTTGATAATATAGTGTAAATAAAAAACATATCACTGGCCAATGACCTCTAACATACCCCAGAAAGCTGCTTCTGAACAGGAAATAAAGATGGAGCCAAGTGGACAATAACAGTCAGACAAGTAACATCTGCCATCCCGTAATATATTTTATCTGACATCTTGCGGAAAATCCGGTTTGCTATCAAAGTTACTTGCCAAGGTTGAAGTTTTTTAGCTATCTTTTATTTCTTTTGTGGCATGCATGAGGATTACATAGATATGTTCTGCGGACAGATACAAATTCTGGGATTAGTTGTATGTCATAGAGGACCTGTTATGTAAAGGCAAGCAGAGGGCAAAGGGTCAGTATTACCTGTTGGTCTCCCCTGCAGCTGATTTTTCCCAGTTACTAATTAAGCATCCCTTGTTCTGAACTGTGTCTGTATGGTGTTGGCCATCTTGGTAGATGAGCAGGACTTTGCTTCCTCATGTGGCAGCTTCTCCTTGATGACTGGTGATCCAGTGACTAGTGGGGTATTCAAGGAGAAGTAGCAGGAGAAGTGGAGGAAGATCTCCAGAATGGATGAAGTAGAAGCAGGTGTAGCTTCCTCTCCAGCAAGGAGAACATTAAGCAGTGTCTGTTATGTCTGTATGTGTCTGAATGGAGTTGGCCATCTTGGTAGATGAGCAGGACTTTGCTTCCTCATGTGGCAGCTTCTCCCCTGAGACTGGTGATCCAATGACTAGTGGGGTATTCAAGAAGTTTTAGCAGGAGAAGTGGAGGAAGATCTCCAGAATGGATGAAGGAGAAGAAGAAGCAGGTGCAGCTTCCTCTCCAGCAAGGAGAACATTAAGCAGTGTCTGTATGTGTCTGTATGGAGTTGGCCATCTTGGTAGATGAGCAGGACTTTGCTATCTCATGTGGCAGCTTCTCCCTGATGACTGGTGATCCAATGACTAGTGGGGTATTCAAGAAGTAGCAGAAGTGGAGGAAGATCTAAAGAATGGATGAAAAAGAAGCAGGTGCAGCTTCCTCTCCAGCAAGGAGAACATTAAGCAGTGTCTGTATGTCTGTATGTGTCTGAATGGAGTTGGCCATCTTGGGTAATGAGCAGGACTTTGCTTCCTCATGTGGCAGCTTCTCCCTGATGACTGGTGATCCAATGACTAGTGGGGTATTCAAGAAGCAGCAGGAGAAGTGGAGGAAGATCTCCAGAATGGATGAAGTAGAAGCAGGTGCAGCTTCCTCTCCAGCAAGGAGAACATTAAGCAGTGTCTGTATGTGTCTGTATGGAGTTGGCCATCTTGGTAGATGAGCAGGACTTTGCTATCTCATGTGGCAGCTTCTCCCTGATGACTGGTGATCCAATGACTAGTGGGGTATTCAAGAAGTAGCAGAAGTGGAGGAAGATCTAAAGAATGGATGAAAAAGAAGCAGGTGCAGCTTCCTCTCCAGCAAGGAGAACATTAAGCAGTGTCTGTATGTCTGTATGTGTCTGAATGGAGTTGGCCATCTTGGTAGACCTTTTTGAGCAGGACTTTGCGTCCTCATGTGGCAGCTTCTCCCTGATGACTGGTGATCCAGTGACTAGTGGGGTATTCAAGAAGTAGCAGGAGAAGTGGAGGAAGATCTCCAGAATGGATAAAGTAGAAGCAGGTGCAGCTTCCTCTCCAGCAAGGAGAACATTAAGCAGTGTCTGTATGTGTCTGTATGGAGTTGGCCATCTTGGTAGATGAGCAGGACTTTGCTTCCTCATGTGGCAGCTTCTCCCTGATGACTGGTGATCCAATGACTAGAAGGGTATTCAAGAAGTAGCAGAAGTGGAGGAAGATCTAAAGAATGGATGAAAAAGAAGCAGGTGCAGCTTCCTCTCCAGCGAGGAGAACATTACGCAGTGTCTGTATGTCTGTCTGTGTCTGTATGAAGTTGGCCATCTTGGTAGATGAGCAGTGACTTTGCTTCCTCATGTGGCAGCTTCTCCCTGATGACTGGTGATCCAATGACTAGTGGGGTATTCAAGAAGTAGCAGGAGAAGTGGAGGAAGATCTCCAGAATGGATGAAGTAGAAGCAGATGCAGCTTCCTCTCCAGCAAGGAGAACATTAAGCAGTGTCTGCATGTGTATGTATGGAGTTGGCCATCTTGGTAGATGAGCAGGACTTTTGCTATCTCATGTGGCAGCTTCTCCCTGATGACTGGTGATCCAATGACTATGGGGTATTCAAGAAGTAGCAGAAGTGGAGGAAGATCTAAAGAATGGATGAAAAAAGAAGCAGGTGCAGCTTCCTCTCCAGCAAGGAGAACATTACGCAGTGTCTGTATGTCTGTCTGTGTCTGTATGGAGTTGGCCATCTTGGTAGATGAGCAGGACTTTGCTTCCATCATGCGGCAGCTTCTCCCTGATGACTGGTGATCCAATGACTAGTTGGGTATTCAAGAAGTAGCAGGAGAAGTGGAGGAAGATCTCCAGAATGGATGAAGTACAAGCATGTACAGCTTCCTCTCCAGCAAGGAGAACATTAAGCTGTGTCTGTATGTGTCTGTATGGAGTTGGCCATCTTGGTGGATGAGCAGGACTTTGCTTCCTCGTGTGGCAGCTTCTCCCTGATGACTGGTGATCCAATGACTAGTGGGGTATTCAAGAAGTAGCAGAAGTGGAGGAAGATCTAAAGAATGGATGAAAAAGAAGCAGGTGCAGCTTCCTCTCCAGCAAGGAGAACATTAAGCAGTGTCTGTATGTGTCTGTATGGTGTTGGCCATCTTGGTAGATGAGCAGGACTTTGCTTCCTCATGTGGCAGCTTCAACCCTGATGACTGGTGATCCAATGACTAGTGGGGTATTCAAGAAGTAGCAGGAGAAGTGGAGGAAGATCTCCAGAATGGATGAAGTAGAAGTAGGTGCAGCTTCCTCTCCAGCAAGGAGAACATTAAGCAGTGTCTGTATGTCTGTATGTGTCTGTATGGAGTTGGCCATCTTGGTAGATGAGCAGGACTTTGCTTCCTTATGTGGCAGCTTCTCCCTGATGACTGGTGATCCAATGACTAGTGGGGTATTCAAGGAAGATCTCCAGATTGGATGAAGTAGAAGCAGGTGCAGCTTCCTCTCCAGCAAGGAGAACAGTAAGCAGCACAATGGTGATATCATCAAATATTACTCAAAATTTCATGAAACTAGCAGTAGCAGCAGTGCCTTAGATCTCACACTGCAGATATACAGCTACGGAGCTCAAGTCACAGGAGTGCCCAGGCACAGCATGTTCACTGCTGCTATTTTTCAGGAGGAATTCATGACAATAGGCAGATTTTAAGCGTGCTGCTTAGACCCAATTAACATTGCTGAATATTCACTATAAGACATAGGACATTAGGGGTTTTTTAGATCCACTTTAATACATAACTCCTGTTCCAGAATAGACTCATAACTGATAATGATTGGCTTGACTGAAATTGCCTTTTGAAGCTCGGTTTAAAGTGTTACTAAACCCACAACAGTACAATCAGTCTGTATATACAGTAAAGCATGCTTGTTATACTCACTGTGGAACCTAAAGGGTTAATCCTCTGCATTGTGTAAAAAGGTTGTTTTTATCCTGTCTTCTCTGATCCTCCCCCCTTCTTCTACTGTCCCCAATCCATCTGCTGATAGAACAGAGCCTTGGGGGCAAACTGCACATGTTCAGTTTGGTGTGTAGTGCTAGATAGTTATTTTTTCTTCGGGGAGTGTATGTGATCAGCACAGGGCCAATCAGTGCTGTACAGACAGTCAGGGGTTCTGCATCCTCCTAGAGCAGAATAAAAATTCCTTCTACAAGCTTTAACCAATGGACTGATAGAAGTTTACAAGACTGCTCTAACTGCTGATGAGAAAATGTATTTATCTGTTTATATTTACTAAAATAATTGCATTTCCATGTTCTGTGTATTGTAAGAGACCAGATATAGTGAATGCAGGGTTCGGGGAGACCAGATATAGTGAATGCGGGGTCCGGGGGAGACCGGATATAGTGAATGCAGGATCCGGGGAGACCAGATATAGTGAATGCTGGGTCCGGGGAGACCGGATATAGTGAATGCAGGGTCCGGGGAGACCGGATATAGTGAATGCAGGGTCCGGGGAGACCAGATATAGTGAATACAGGGTCCGGGGAGACCAGATATAGTGAATGCAGGGTCCGGGGAGACCGGATATAGTGAATGCAGGGTCCGGGGAGACCAGATATAGTGAATGCAGGGTCCGGGAGACCAGATATAGTGAATGCAGGGTCCGGGGAGACCAGATACAGTGAATACAGGGTCCGGGGAGACCAGATATAGTGAATGCAGGGTCCGGGGAGACGGGATATAGTGAATGCAGGGGCCGGGGAGAGCGATATAGTGAATGAAGGGTCCGGGAGGAGCGGATATAGTGAATGCAGGGTCCAGGGAGAGCGGATATAGTGAATGCAGGGTCTGGGGAGAGCGGATATAGTGAATGCAGGGTCCGGGGAGAGCTGATATAGTGATTGCAGGGTCCGGGGAGAGCGGATATAGTGAATGAAGGGTCCGAGGAGACCAGATATAGTGAATGCAGGGTCCGGGGAGACCAGATATAGTGAATGCAGGGTCCGGGGAGACCAGATATAGTGAATGCAGGGTATGGGGAGACCAGATATAGTGAATGCGGGGTCCGGGGACACCAGTTATAGTGAATGTGGGGTCCGGGGAGACCGGATATAGTGAATGCAGGGTCCGGGGAGACCGGATATAGAGAATGCAGGGTCCGGGGGAGAGTGGATATAGTGAATGCAGCGTCCGGGGAGACCAGATATAGTGAATGCAGGGTCCGGGGGAGAGCGGATATAGTGAATGCGGGGTCCGGGGAGACCAGATATAGTGAATGTGGGGTCCAGAGAGAGCGGATATAGTGAATGCAGGGCCCGGGGGAGAGCGGAGGAGAGCGGATATAGTGAATGCAGGGCCCGGGGGAGAGCGGATATAGTGAATGCAGGGCCCGGGGGAGAGCGGATATAGTGAATGCAGGGCCCGGGGGAGAGCGGATATAGTAAATGCAGGGTCCGGGGAGAGCGGATATAGTGAATGCAGGGCCCGGGGGAGAGCGGATATAGTAAATGCAGGGTCCGGGGAGAGCGGATATAGTGAATGCAGGGCCCGGGGGAGAGCGGATATAGTAAATGCAGGGCCCTACATATTTAGTTTTCAGCGCTGTCTCTTCTTTGAGTGTTCCCAATAACAGCTTCATGTGTTTCCCCCTAGCCACCATCCAATTTAGCCCACCGGTGCGATTTGACAGATCAAAGTCACGTGACCAGGAGCGGACTGACCATTTGGAAACTCGGCACTGCCCGAGGGCCCGGGGTCAATAGGAGGCCCCATGAGATGCCCCTGGTACCTTTCATAGGCTTTTTTGGGTGTGTGGTTTAAGTGTAGGCGGGGACCACAGGGGCCCCATGATCCCCTTATGCCTAGGGGCCCCATGAGCTGTCAGTCCGCCCTGATAAGTCGCACCCTATTGCCAGCTACGGTACCATTTAAATTGGTAGGGCTCCGATTTGTGGCAACTTTGAAAAAGTTCCTGCACTATTTTTTGGTGATTTCATGTGCGACAATCTGTGCGTGAAGTCACAACAATGCCGACAAGCTGCGCATGAAGTCGCGCTGATTGGCGGCTTTGAAATCGCGCTGAAGTAGCGTGATTTCAAAGCCACGTTCGCTGTGAATCAGGGCTAAATGATTACAGGAAAAGGAGACCTAGGAAGTACAGGTTTCAATCCAACAGCTGGCTGAGGGCAACACAAGCAGTTTTTATTTCAGCACATTAACCCCTTCACTCCAACCATACGCAAATATGTGGCCCCACTGGACTAGGCTTTTTTTCCATGGGACCGTATTTGAGTACCTGCACAGTGCACTCCCAGCACAGAGACTGGAGTTTCACCAAGAGCCCAGGGCCCCGTGGTAATGATCAGGACCCAGAACTCCCGATTCTGTGTCACCTGATTGCTTTGATAGCCTCTGATTGGCTAGCACAGCGATAAGTCACTGTGTTTTCTCTCTCTGAATGGAGAGAGAGAGATACTGTACATTGTATCTCTCTCTGTCCTTTCAGAGAGAAAAAAAAAGTGTGTGTAAAAAATAAATAAATTTAAAAAAAAAAAAAAAAAAATAAAATAAAATAAAAAAATCAGTTTGATCTAGGTCAGTGCCAGGATTCATGTCCGGTCAAGGTCAGGGTCAAAGGTCAAGATTAAAAGTCAGGGTCAGTGGGGTTTTTTTTCAGTATTTTTATTTTTCATTTTTAAATTAGTATCAGTGTATTTTAGACAGGATAAAAAAAAGCAAAATATTCACTATTGTTTCTGGGCCGTACTACAGGTACAAACAACAAATAACATACACATATGTGGTATCGCTGCGATCGTCAGGAGCAGGAGATATTATTTTTGAGTTGTTCTTTGGTGGTAGGTTATGGTAGCAGCAAGAAATATACAGCTAAATTTAAAAAAAAATATTTTTTTCTTACTATTTTGGACCGTTTTCTTTTAATAATAAAAAAAAGAAATCAGGAAATATCCATTACCTTTCACCATCAAATGAAAGCCTAATTTGTCCTGAAAAAAATGTGGTATAATCCACCTGGAGGCAAAAAGTAGTTGTGACGATATGTACGGTTTTACTAACACAGGTCAAAGTTGCAAAATTGTGCTTAGGCATTTGGATTTGTTTTATCCTCAGGCACGAAGGGGTTTATATACATTGATAGCTGAATTTTTCTTCCAGGTTTATGAGGAATATGGGGGTGAAGATCATATGGACTTGTGGACTCTTAATGGTATTTCTAAAAGGTAAGTGAAAGCAGAACAGTCATTGGGGTAATTACCAAATACAAGTGGAGAGAGTCAGGTCATGTTTAATGCAAATCCAGTTCCTTCTTATATTTATTTACTGTATATATAGTGCAGGGGTCTCCAAACTTTCTAAACAAAGGGCCAGTTTACTGTCCTTTAGACTTTAGGAGGGCTGGACTGTGGCCAGTTTGAGTAGAAAGGGTCCCTACATCAGTGGAAAGCAATAATGCCCTATCGTTTGGTGTCAGTCAAAGGAATTGTGCCCCATCATTGATGCCATTGGACCCCATACTTGGTATCATTGGGAGGAATTGTGCCCCATCGTTGATGCCATTGGACCCCATACTTGGTGTCATTGGGAGGAATTGTGTCCCCATCATTGATGCCATTGGACCCCATAACATGGAGGAATTGTGGTATCATTGGGAGGAGGAATTGTGCCCCATCGTTGATGCCATTGGACCCCATAATTGATGTCATTGGGAGGAATTGTGTCCCATCGTTGATGCCATTGGACCCCATAATTGCGTCATTGGGAGGAATTGTGCCCCATCGTTGATGCCATTGGACCCCATAATTGGCGTCATTGGGAGGAATTGTGCCCCATCATTGATGCCATCGCGGACCCCAATAATTGATGTCATTGGGAGGAATTGTGCCCCATCATTGATGCCATTGGACCCCCATCACATTGCCCTGCGTCATTGGTTCCTGATCCCTTTCACATGTGGTTTGGAATTGCAATCACCCCATCCATCATTGATAAGACATGCTCACTAGGACTTACCTGACCATCTAGTTGTTGGAGCTCCTGGTGTACATTGGAAGGCATATGTGCCCCCTTCACTTGATTGTTTTGCCCGCCTAGCTCGGGGGGGAATTATGCTCCTATTTATTGGATATCCAGCTGGATGAAAGCCTTGCTGTCAAGTGCCCCAGAGGGCAAAGCAAAGGGCCACTCCACGCCCTGGGGAACCCCATTGGTCCCCAGGAATTGTGCAGTTTTCGAGGATTGTGCCCCACTGATAGGCAGGAAGTATGGGGGGGAATATATATATCTATATATATATATATATAACAAGCAAAGGAAATCTCCCCCCAACAGCCCACAGTTTGGAGAACCCAAACAAAATATATAAAAATGGCAATAAGGTTCTAACTGGCAAAGGTTCTAAACTCATTTTTGGCAGGAATTTCACTTTAAAAGACCGTGTTTGTAGAAGCATATGTGAATTGATTGCCCTCCTTCTGCACATTTTAATTGCGTGACTGTTTTCTGATGTTCTACCTTTGATACTTTCCAAGTCAGATATGTTCTAGAACACATCTAGAGCAAAAAGGCCTTTGTACTTTATTGTGGGTAAGTAGCGCAGTGAATAAGTATGACCACCAGCATTGACAGAAGAACGCAGTAATTAGCAGTAAGATTTGCCCTCTCAATGGCAGTATGAACAGTAGCCATTGCTGATGACTTTTTTTTTTTAAGAAAATTGTGAAGTCACTGACCTGCCTATGCTATCTTGAAGGGGCATCTGGATCACGAGACTGGATTGACTGAATTAAAAAAGTTTTGACAGAATAAAAAAGTTCAGAGAGGTACATAAAGTGTTATTTGTATATTTGACTGTTTGCCTGAAGTCCAGCTTCAAAGGTACACTGTCATTCAGAAAAAAGTGACACTATAAAGGGTATTTACCTTGCCAATGACTTGTCCACTGACACTCCATCCATGCTGCCCAGCACGGCAAGCAGAAATACCCAGTACAGGCGTACCTCGCTTTAAGAATTTAATTCGTTCTGCGGGACTTTTCGTATTGCGAAAAATTCATAAACTGAAACGCAGTTTCCCATAGGAATGCATTGAGAACCAATTAATCCGTTTCGGGAGGTCAGAAAAAAGTAAAAAAAAAAGTCTTATGTTTGTTCATAACTCTTTATAAAGTGCACTTAAAGGCATAAATACTGTACAGGGACATGATTTAAAAATTAATTCGTAAATGCATTGAAAACCAATTGATCCATTCCGGAGATCAGTCAAAAAAAGTTGTATCTGTTCAAAACTCTTTATAAAGTGCACTTTAAAGGCATAAAGGGACATGATTAAAAAAAAATTTGTAAATGCATGATAACCAATTAATCCGTTCCAAAGGTCAAAATTTTTTTTTATCTTTTCAAAACTCTTTATAAAGTGCACTTTAAAGGATAAATACTGTACAGGGACATGATTAAAAATTAATTTGTAAATGCATTGAAAACCAATAAATCTGTTCCGGAGGTCAGAAAAAAGTCAAAAAAGTATTTTATCTGTTCAAAACTCTTTATAAAGTGCACTTTAAAGGCATAAAGGGACATGATTAAAAAAAAAAATTGTAAATGCATTGATAACCAATTAATCCGTTCCGGAGGTCAGAAAAAAAGTCAAAAAAAGTTTTATCTGTTCAAAACTCTTTATAAAGTGCACTTTAAAGGCATAAATACTGTACAGGGACATGATTAAAAAAAATTTCATAAATGCATTGAAAACCAACTAATCCATTCGTATTTGCGAAAAAAATTCGTAAACCGAGGCGTTATTTTCAATGGATTTTCATTTGAAAACCGAAAATTACATCAACCGAGGCGTTCGTAAACGAGGTACGCCTGTACTTACGGGAGTAGGGAACCAGGTGACTTCCTCTCATGTAATAGTATTCATGCCTGCTAAATTCAATCACTACGGAGGATTTTGCGACAAAAGAGGAAGCAGTCAGAGAGAGCTGGCATGACGGGTATTAGCAGATCTAACTTGCTCTGAATGGCAAAGTGTCTCTTCCACAAGCTGTAAAAAATATATAAAAAAAAAAATTCTCACTAACCTCTATAGCTGCAGGCATAATGAAATAATACATTTTCACAAGTGTTTCTTTAGAGGACACAATGACTTTCACAGAAAGTACAGTGGTCCTTTTGTCCCCCTTCAAACTAGACATGACCCCCACCCCCCATATGTATATTGTCCTTGGTGGGTGAATGTGGCT